TTTTGGCAAAACCAAAAGCATTTAAAACTCTTTTCAAAAAATGAAGGGGTCTCATGTAAATTCCATTGTGGAGTTAGCATGGAGCCACTGCCCCTTTCGACATTTTCCATTGATTTTGCCTTAAAAAAGCATTAAGACTTTGTTCAAGAGCTTATTGAACAAACGTAGAGCTGTTCACACCCATTTTATTTCTAAATGCCTGTATGTGTTTTTTTTAACCATACATTTCCATTTGGGGTTGCATTTCTTTTTCCTGGCAAAGCAGAGACTCGGATCACTTATTCCAATAATGTGGCAGCCAGTTGGAATTGCCAAGAGAAGGACTATTTAGAAAACCAGAAAAAACTGAGTTATCTTTCTTTCTCCATTAATCAACTCCCACTAGAAATTCCATTGCTCTCTGCTTTGCCTTCAAAGATATAGCTCCCTTTTCACCCCTTCCATGCCTGACCCACCCCCCTGCCCCCCGCCCCAATACCACTTCACTGGGAAATCTACTGTACTGTCGTAGAAAACTTGATCATCAAATTTGGGAAGAGAGTCACCTGGAAGCCACAGCGGCTGAGATTTTTGCCAGGCTTGGCCTGTCCCTTCTGCCCCTTGTGCCCTTGCTCATTAATGAGGCCGCATTGAACACCTGGGAGCCTAAGTCACTTTGCCCCATGGATGTTGGAAAAGAAGTCTCTCTTCGATGTGGCCCTTGCTTTTTAATAAGGAGAAATAAATAGCTAGTTGGTCTAGATTCACTCCCTTAGTGCTTTCTCGACGGTAAGTCATACTCCTTGCTTTGCGTCTTCTGGGGTGTCGCACGTCTGTCATTGTCCTGATACTAAGCATTCACCCTGGTGGATGACAAAGGAATGTAGGGATCTTAGCTATTTTAGCACAATAACCAACTTGATTTAAATTTGTTTTTAAAAAAAGGTAAATCTGGGAAGGCCTATTGTGAGTTCTGGAATTTAGGTACGCAAAGCTTGCAATTGTTCTTCATGGGTGAATTTTACCACAAGCCTTGGTGAAAGTCCAGGGACTCTATGGCTGTAAAGTAGCTGTGTCATCTCTTATGAGGGAGGAGAGACTTAGCTATAGGCCTTCCCATGACCATATGGTAAAACCCACCTCCTGAGAGGACACATAGTGGAGGAGTGAGCAATATGGACACTGCACTCAGACAGCCCGGGTTCGAATCCTGGCCCCCCTGCTTGCCAGCTGTGTGACTCTAGGCAAGTTACTTAACCTCTCTGTGCCTCAGTGTCTTCATCTGTTAAATGGGAGATGATCATAATAACAGACTCACGGGTATTTATAGGAATCACATAGGTGAATATGTGAAAAGTGTTTAGTGCATAGTCAGCACCATATAAGCACTGGGTTAATAAAAATAAATAAGTTAATATTCCACCTCGTTGCCGTAAGGGGAAGGTTAACCGAGTGCTGAATTCTGAGTGTACCACTAGACTAAGAGATTCTCTTCTTAACTCGTGAGAGGACCGGTCCTTCCCGTTCTCAGCATGTTCATTTAGAGGAAGTTAATTTCTGGGATCAGAGGTAAGGCCGTCTGTTCAGATGGCACAGGTATTGCTGGGGTACATCCTTGTCCAAAGCTGCTAAGAAACGAAATTGCCCCAAAGGTGCAAGGAGACAGCAGCTCCCGTTCATCTGCTGGCGCTGCCAGGTGAAATGGAGTAGCTAGAATAAAGAGGTGGCAGATTGTTCGCATGTGTGTGTGCACATGCACGTGTGTGTGAGTACTCACGTGTGTATATGCACATCTAAGTGAACATTGTCTCCCCCAAAATAGTGGGGTGAAGAACAAGAAGCAAGATATCATTTGATGAGGAGGTCGGGTGTAAATTCGTGCATTATAATAGAAAGGGATGTGCATCTTCTGGTCCCATGCAAAGTAGTCAGTCATCTTCGTGTCCAGAAACCAGGAAAACACACCAAATATCTTTTTTACGTGTGATTTCAAACCTATATGCATATCTATGGAAGTTTAGGAGAACATTAAGACAGGAGAAACAATTTAGACTGATTTATACATATAAAAATAAATGAATCTGCACAACATTTAGAACATTAGAGTGGCCATTCAAATTAGCCCTGGGTCCACCGTCAGAAATTAGATCATTGGATCCAAAACACTAATTTGAAAAGACACATGCATTCATTGCAGGATTATTTACAATAGCCAAGATATGGAAACAACCTAAGTATCCCTCAATAGATGATTGGATTAAGAAGAGGTGGGACCTATATGCAATGGAATATTACTCGGCCATAAAAAGAATGAAATCTTGACCTTTGCAACAACATGGATGGACCTAGAGCATATTGTGCTGAGTGGAGTAAGTCAGACAGAGACAGACAAGTGCCATATGATTTCACTTCCATGTGGAATCTAAAGAACGAAATAAACAAACGAAACAGAAACAGATTCATACATACAGCGAACAAACTGATGGGTGCCAGATGGGAGAGGGGTTGGGGGCCTGGGTGAAAAAGATGAAGGGATTAATAAATACAAATTGGTAGTTACAAAATAGTCATGGGGATATAAAGTACAGCATAGAGAATAGAGTCAATAATATTGTAGTAACTGTGTATGGAGCCAGGTGGGTTAGACTTATTGGGGGGAATCACTTCGTAAGTTACATAAATGTCTAATCACTCTGCTGCGCACCTGGAACTAATATAAAATAACATAGAGGGTCAATGGTAATTGAAAAATGAAAAACAATTTAAAAAAGGAGTTAGACCATTGGACTATAGAAAAGGAGTGAGTTACATAAGGGTTAACATGGGCTGAGTAGTTTCTATGATCAGGCACCGTGCTAAGCCTATTCTTAGCATGATGCTTAAATTCCCATGGCAGTGTCCCAATGAGGAGACTAAGAGACAAGGAATTTGAAATCAAGAGCCTATGTTTTTTATAACTGGGTTATACTACTTTATTTTTTATGAATAGTAAAAGTCATAATTTTTTTTGACCATGCCCTATGATAGTAGATCATACTACTGCTCTATGGCTAAACCAGTCTAACTAAAAAAAGACAGATGATAATTTTGGATTATTCCAACCACCACCATATTCAGATCTGTTAACCAGTAGTGACAGGGAGTCTGGACAGCCAAATGATTATTTCTATGAGTTGCTCTGATAATTAAAATCTTAACAAAAATGAGGCATGGATAAGTAAGTGTTCCTTGAGAAATCTGAACATTTGTGTTCCAAGTTGCCAGTATCTGGCCCCACCTTGATCAGAAGCTTTCTCTTGCCTATATATTTGTGTGTGAAGGTAGACAGAGTTCATGATATTCAGAAATGGAGGAAAATGTTGCTGTAAATTCAACAATCCAGAACAGTTCCTCTGAAATATCTGAAGACCCATAAACACTGAGACTCCAGCTAGCTTAAATCTAAAGTCGCAAGTACCTCTACCTATGGAATGCGTATATGTAAATATATAGATGTAGAATGTCTTCATTTGCATAGCCAGGTGTAATTGCTAAGGTTACCCATTTAAATACCCATGACTAAAAATGTAGGGGGCATTTTAAATTTCCCCAAGTATAAAAAGAGTCTGGGTTTATCTTACAATTTTGAACATGCCTCAAAGCTGAAATGAAGACCTCGTCATTGATTTGCTCTAAATATTTAGCAGGCCAACCCCGCATGTGCCTGATATGTACTAGAAAGCTAGACTCATTAGTCATTTCTATATATAATATTCTGTGTTAATGACACATATCATAACATTCTCATAGTATAATTATTGATTTTCTGAAGCTTATGCAGAATTAACAACCCAGTCTCCAATTGTCTCTCAGAATGGGGCACGAAAAGTTCACATATTTTATAAATTAAAATCGATATTTTCAATCTCTCCTAAAGGTAGTTTTCCTAATTTAGTGGACTTTTCCCTAACATTTATTTTGTCTTTTAATTATAAAATGGCAGGTTATTGATTTTCCTATATAACCTCTTGACACCCTGAGTGCATTTTTATTGCTAATGCAGGGTGGGGGTGGGGAGAGCAGTCGCACCTCTTAATGAGGATCTTTAATTACCAGCTGAACTGTATTAATTTCCTTTGATAAATTATGACGTGCACTCTCCCTTGCTCACACATTCCAGGGGAAGCATTAAGAAAGTGGTTATGGAAGTCTTTTCATTTCGGGGGATCAGATCATAACAGGAAGAACTCTTTTAAATGCTTATCCAGTCCAGTCTCTAGAAGCAGATACACATAAATCAGCTTATCCCCGTGAACATATATAAATCTTCCCCAAAGACAAGCGGGTGTTTTCCTATAACACTAAACAGTATCGATTATTTTTCCTAAGTCCCATCATCTTTGGACTCCTTGAGGCTTATTCTCCAGACGAAGGATTGATAAGTCAATAAAAAAAAAAGTCTAGGTGAGTCTCCAGGACTTCAGCTGGTATCTATGGCCATTCCGTTTTAGAGTTTAGAGAAAATTGAACTTCCCAACTGGAAGTACAGTCTCTACAAATATCTGTTTCCAGTAGCATGCCTCGAGTTATTTCGTGTAATTAGAAATAGTGTTTCTAAGACTCTCGATGAAGACAACTCAATGGGGATTCTTACCGTTTTCCCATCATTATGAGACAGTCCTTTCGCCTTCTAATAAAAAAGATTTTTTTTAAAAATTGATGTCTTTAGAGATAATCGTGATATCTAGCCCACAAAACTGTTGATCAGAAGCACCTTTAATCTTCATAAACAAGTAAAACAAACTGAAAATAAATAACAGGAGGTTATACAAAGATGTCAACATGGTACTGACAAATGGCAGATTCATCTGTTTCTCAGTTGCGGCTAAGATCGTTG